AATTATGCCAAGGAAAAGATAGTTGCTAATAACTTTTTGCCGACCATCAAAGGTAGGGGCTTCAACAAGTTGCAGTGAATATGCTGCAGATTCTTAGAGATGATCCATACAAGCACAAGTGGGAAAAGCAAAATAGAAGAATGAAATGGACAATAAATGGTACCAGCAGAATCCCCTTTTCTACTTGATGCAGGATTGCAGGATTCTTCATTCACATCTTATCATCAGCTGCTATTGACTTCCCACTCATTTTCTATCTCTTGTATATATGTTTCTATATATATTATCCCACAAAAAGAAGCCTCGAATGTGGGAAAAAACACTAGTATTTGGAAAATGTTGTGCAATTATCCAAAATAAATCGTTAATTATATTCACCCCACAATTTTTATTGACTACATAACTTTTTAATTACAATGTCTCTAACCTTTGCTTATTTTTGCAATTTGTGTTCCCTAACTTTTTCATCAAATTCTCATCGCGATCTTCCATCAATTTGCAGATCTTATTTTTTATTACGGTTTTAATCTAAACAAATTGTTGAGGGGGTGTAAAAATATTTAATTCTCTCTCGTATTTTTGTATGATTAAAATAAAAAACAAATACAAAAGTCATTTACCACCTTTTCAGTGCACTTTAACTGAATATTTGTATTGAGTTGTCATTATAGACAAGATGTACTAATTATAAGTTACAGATAAAAATGCATGAAAAAAATTGAGGACATAAATGTAAAAATAAGCAAATATTGAAGATCTAGGCTCTAATGTGCCGGATGAAGGTAGTAATATTTGAAGGGTTAATCCATTTGTACGTAATGATTTGAACATTAATGGATTATCCCCTCTCACATAATGCGCGGGGCCCGCATGTATTTAAAAATTCTGACAATGTAGTCTACATCCCCATTGTGAATAGTAGGTAAAAGATTCGATAAAAAAATTCGGTACATGTAGCATTATCCATATTTCAATGCATCCGTACTGTTCGTAAAAGAAGTTTTCTCGAAAACTAGCATTGGTTGTTTTTGTTGCATCACCTTTAGGTTTTGCCAATCCACTCGATTGATCGAACTAATACGAAATGGGGGCAGGAGATCAATTTCACCGATTCTTATCCAACTTCTGCCACTCTATATTCTACGCTGCTGAGCTTGAGATAATAAGATGCTGTAATATTTTGACCCTCCCTGTATTCCTAGAATAAAAATTTTTGTTTTGTATTTAGGGTGCGTTTGATTGCAAGGGTGGAAAATGGGTGGAAAGAAAATGTTTTACAGGGAAAATGTTTGTCTAGAAAATGTTTTGCAGAGAA